GTGTGAGGAACCAAGAGCAATGATACCCTACCAGGAAAAGGGGGGGGGGTGAGGAACCCAGAGTACCGATACCATACCAGGGAAAGGGGGGGGGGACCCAGAGTACCGATACCCTACCAGGGAAAAGGGGGGGGGGGAAGGGACCCAGAGTACCAATACCATACCAGGGAAAGGGGGGGGGAACCCCCAGAGTACCAATACCATACCAGGGAAAGGGGGGGGGTGAGGAACCCAGAGTACCAATACCATATCAGGGAAAGGGGGGGGTGGTGAGGAACCCAGAGTACCAATACCATACCAGGGAAAAGGGGGGGGGTGAGGAACCCAGAGCACTGATACCATACCAGGCAAAAGGGGGTATCTCCATAGAGAGACACCTAATGCCAGCTCCATAGAAAGAGAGGAAGGCCAGGATGGGGGTCATAGGGAAGGATAGACAAGGAGGAAGACGGAAAAGGGGGCAGAACAGAGGGGGAGGAATGCAGAAATTGGGGATGGGGAAACAAAAACACAGATGAAGAGTGGTAGAGAAGGTGGTTGAGGGGAAGAATAAAGAAAGAGAGAGGTGGAAATGAGGGGGCAGGGGAAGGACAGAGAAGGAGGAAAGATGGGGGGCAGGGGGAAGGATAGAGATGGAGGGAGGTTGAAATGGGGGGCAGGGAAAGGACAGAGATGGAGATATAAGTCAGGGGGAATAATATAGAGAGAGGAAGGTGGAAATGGGGACATAAAAAGAACAAAGTGGGATAGTGGCAGAGATGGGGGAAGGATAGAGTGGGAGGAAGGTGGGAACAGAAGCAAGGGAAGGTTGGGGGGGGGATGCAAAGACAGGGGTGCGGGGGAAGGATAGAGTGGAAAGGATTCGGAACGGGGTGGTACAGAAAGGATAGAGAGGGAGGGAATGGAAATGGGGGCAAGGGAAGGATGGCGAGGGAGCAAGAGAGGCAGAGATGGGAGAGGATGATGGACTCCTCACCTTTGCAGAGAGGCCATAAGAGGGGGGGAAGGGAGCTGAGGATGTGGAGGAACCCCAGGTGACATAGGGTAGGTACCTCTTCCCCGTCCCCCAGGTTTCCCCACACGTCAGGTTTCTCTTAGCAGTGTTCATTATTGCAGAGTCACATGTAACTGTTTGATACAAATGGCCGCATCCACATAAGAGAACCTGTCATTGCAGTACAGGAAGTGGAGACAGAAGACGTCATTCTAACTCTCAGGACGTCCGCTCTGCCCGTTGTTTATTAGTCGGTAAAAGTGAGAGTCTCTCTTGTTGCTGAGGACTACGGGAGAATCCCTTTCAGCCACCCTCCCAGCATGCATCACCAGCACCCGGTCTGAGTCCATAATGGTGTTCAACCTGCGAGAGAAAAGTGAGATATTGTCAGGGTAGAATCTCCGTCTTGCAGGGTCAGTAATGACATCACTTGGTTCATTTCCAGTCATGGATGGAGCGGTCAGGGATTTGGGGTACCTGTGTGTGCGATAGTGAGGACTGTGCGCTCTCTGAATCTTTCACGGATGGTCTGCTGCAGCAGCAGCTGGTCAGTCTGATGGTCAACACTGGCCGTAGCTTCATCGATGCATAGAACCTAACAGAGGAACAAATAGCAGACTTTCATGGATGGATTTCCTGAGTGTTGGGGAACAATTCCTCACTTTATTAACCGTGAATTGTACGTGGGGGGATGGCAGGAGTGCAACCACAGACTGGAGGCACCTTAGATGGGTGGCTTTGTGGGACTGACTGCAATGCTGAAGGGATCCTGCTGGAGCGAAGAATAAGGTAGGCATTACACCTTACCCCTCTACCCCCAGGGCAAAAATTAGCATTTAACTCTTGTAGCATGGGGGTCCCACTGCTGGGGTAGTTTTGTTCTTGTGCCTGGAGTAGGATAAGAATGTAAGTGTACAATCCAAACGCACAATCCTGCGTTAAAAATGGCGGTGTGTATAAGTGGGTGCTGCAGCGACCGTCGGCTGGAACCAAACAGAATCAGCGAGGGAGAATGTCACCAGCACACCGAGGATCACCAATATGGGGCCAAAGGTTTTAATGAACGATCACATAGTTACAGCAAGGCAACGTTTCAGAGTCTCGCAGGACCCCTTCATCAGGCATGTGACAATGGTCACGCATGACCCCTTCATCAGGCATGTGACGATGGTCACACAGGACCCCTTCATCAGGCATGTGACAATGGTCACGCATGACCCCTTCATCAGGCATGTGACGATGGTCACGCAGGACCCCTTCATCAGGCATGTGACAATGGTCAAGCAGGACCCCTTCATCAGGCATGTGACAATGGTCAAGCAGGACCCCTTCATCAGGCATGTGACAATGGTCAAGCATGGACCCCTTCATCAGGCATGTGACAATGGTCACGCAGGGCCCCTTCATCAGGCATGTGACAATGGTCACGCAGGACCCCTTCATCAGGCATGAGACAATGGTCACGCAGGACCCCTTCATCAGGCATGTGACAATGGTCACGCAGGACCCCTTCATCAGGCATGTGAAAATGGTCACGCAGGACCCCTTCATCAGGCATGTGACAATGGTCACGCACGGACCCCTTCATCAGGCATGTGACAATGGTCACGCAGGACCCTTTCATCAAGCATTTGTCAATGATCACGCAGGACCCCTTCATTAGGCATGTGACAATGGTCACGCAGGACCCCTTCATCAGGCCTGTGACGATGGTCACAGGCCTGATGAAGGGGTACTGTGAGACTCCGAAACGTTGCCTTGCTGTAACTATGTGATCGTTCATTAAAACTTTTGGCCCCATATTGGTGATCCTCGGTGTGCTGGTGACATTCTCCATTGGAGTAGGATAAGTTCACCTTCCATAACATGTTACACCCATATTCAGGTTGCAACATGTTATGAAAGCACCTGCCCCCCCGTTCCTTGCTGATCTCCCACTTTGACAAGTGGGGAGGGGGGGGGGGGGCGATCTTCTCCCCCTCCCCCCCCCCCCCCCCGCTAGCTGTCAAATTTTAAAAAACCTGGCGACGCAGGGCTCCTCCCTTCCGGCCGTGTCAGCCCTCTGTGAATGAGAAACTGCAAGTCTTGACAGCCTTAGCGGCTGTCGGTGTGTAGTTCTCAATGAGCTACCAAGGCACTGTGGAGCGCCGTGGTAGTTCATTAAATCTTCTCGTCAGTATATCTGCTTGCTCATACATCCCATATGGGCAAGCAGTAATACTGACAGATCGCTTCTCGGCCTTTTGGCTAAGATCAAGTGTAGTATCTGTTCTTATCAGTGTCCAGCAGGGGGCTCCACCATCATTCTAGCTTTGCGGGGATGATTGATTGTATAGTACCCCTGCTGCTATGATGGGGGTCCTGATGGTTAATACGGGGGGAACAGAAACCATGGTGCCCATAGAGAGTTGGGGCACGGGAGTAATTCCCCTTTGGAACGCCAGAGGAGCCCAGTACCTCCTGATTTGAGCGGATCTACCTTGTCTGGCCAGGGGCCGGGAAGGCAGAAAGTCCGCAAACCAGTGCCCCCTGAGTGGTCGCCTCAGGGGTGCTCTTAGTAGCACTTGGGTGTGGGGGACCCCAAGGCATGAAAAGGCACATGGTCACTGAGTTTAAACACTTTTTCTGCACAGCACCCTCGGGACCAGGCCTTCTGGCTAAGTTCGGGGCAATTTTTGCTACAGGCCTCAGGGCCTGGTCTGTGCACATTTGGCAAGATCACTTTTTTATTTTTTATTTATTTATTTATCTCCCACGTTTTGTCACTTTCACTCTTATGTGTGTGTTTTATTTCCTCACAGGATGTAGGGTGTGGGTCCTCTGGCCTGCCCTGAAGTCTAGGGGGAGGATGTGTGGCCTTTTGGTTCCTTCCTCCCCTGTCCCTAGGGGGTTTTTCTCTTCGGGAGAGCCCCCTGACCAAGTACTGTGTGGCTGGCTTCGGCTGGCCACAAGGAACGGTGGTCCGCCAGGCCTTTTGGCCAGGTGGACCAAATGGGAACCTTGTCCCTGTCAGGAGCTTCGTGCCCCGGGGGATCAGGGTAGCGGTCCATCCCCTTCGGGGGAAGGACAAAGCACACCCCTAAGTGCACTTTTTCATGTGGTGTTTTGCACTTGCACTTTTTTTGTGATTCACTTACGGGTTTTTTTTCGTTATTCGCACGTTTGCGGACTTAAAAAAAAAAAAAAAAATACTGACAGATCTGCAGGAGACCTGCATGGCACCAGCGCTCTACTCATCACTGGTGCTCTGCTTTACAGGCTCATACAGCAAAAAATAATAAATGCACATTTTTTTATCTACAAAAAAAAATGTGCATGTATAATTTTATTACCAAAAGGTGAACTTATCCTTTAAGTACACAAGCACCTAAGGCCAACTAATGCACCCAAGCACTGAACCTCCACCGTCATCTTGACTGACTCCGCACCCGTTGGAGCTTATGATTAAGCATGAGATCATGTGAAACGCGTTAACAAGTCCTGTATTCACGTCCTGGTGTTTTGTGTGTCCTATGGATCAATAAATACACACTATATTCATCTATCCTCCAGTGTTCGGCTGACCCTTCTTCCTATTGCATTGTGTTTGGTGGCGAGCCAGAGCCTGCACCTGTTGTGGATTGATCTGGATTGTTTTCCTGAGCGGTATACCTTTTGTTTTTTGGATTCAGCCCTTTGGAGCTGGCCAACATTCAGAGACATATAATTATGCAGAAAAAGCACTAGCAGATGAGTGGTGTAAGAACAGACCATTACCTGCTAAGACCTGTTAGATTCACCTTATGGGTATTGGAGTCTCTCACCACCACCACCACCATCTAGCCACACTACAGCAACACACTGTCTATCTCCTATACCTCGCCTTTAAAACGTTTAACCGATATTGCCATGGTGAGACCATTGACACTCATCTGTCTTCCCTTTGCTGTCTGGTCAACCTACAGCCTACCATTGGGCTCACCTTAGCATGAGTGAGCAGAGCTCTGGCCAGACACAAGAGCTGCCTCTGTCCAAGGGAGAAATTCTTCCCTTTGTCACCAACATCTGCATCCAGACCCCCTACAAGACGAGGACATGGGACAATAAGTGACAAAAAGTCTAAAACAGTCACAGCCCAATCTCTGTTAGATGCTCACCAATACGTTCCACCAAATCCTGCAGGTGACACTGGAAGAGAACATCCATCAGATCAGAATCCGTGTGGCGAGACAAAGGATCCAGGTTCTCCCTGACACTACCACTGAACAGAAAGGGATCCTGGGGGATGATGGCAAGTCGTGACCTGACAGAGAAACAGAGAATTCACGCAAAGAAGGTCTATAGGACGCCAACCCCAGTGTCTTCATTGTCACTCACCCTCAGGTCTTCCAAATTCAGCTCTCGTGTGGAAGTGCCATCAATAAGAATATGTCCAGAATTCAGCTCCATCATGCGGAAGAGCACCAGGAACAAAGAGGACTTTCCAGAGCCTGTCCGACCCACAATTCCAATCTTTTCCCCAGGAGATATGGTGAAGTTCACACCATCCAGAGCATTGGGGAGGCCAGGGCGGTAACATAAAATGGCATCTCTAAACTCAATACACCCATGTTTGGGCCAGTCTGGTTCTACCTGGAAGAAACACACGAGTAAAGTGAGCAAAGTCTTAGGAATGCACCCTTTGAGAGTCTTGTGCTTTTATCATTGGCAATCTGAGGGTGGCATGGACAATCTTAAGGTGGATTCCTCTGGTTAGAGGTGGGAGGGACCACAGGCTGGACCCCTCTCTCATTTCTCATTATCTTGAGAATTTCCAGTATATTCTACAGCAGAATCAAAGAAAACCTGTTAATAACACACCCGTGCTCTATACATTGTAGGACCAGACAATAAAAAGTTTAAATCCTGTGACAACTATTATGTTGGCGTCAGTTTGGAGGTCACTTACCGTCACTATCCCCTCTCTCGGTTCACATGGCAGCATGGTGGAGTACTCTTCAGCTCTCTCCACACTCACCATCATGGCTTCTGTCTGAGTGAAGCTGGAGATGAGACCGGACAACAATCCTGTGATAGAGAGCGCATAGGACAGGGACAGCCCAACTAGACCTGCAGAGAAGAGGAGATCAATGAGAACAAGAGATGGCCTGCAGGAGGAGAATAGAGGCAGTCTCCTAGAGAAGACAGACTGCAAGGGACAGAGAGACAGACTGCATGTGAAGACAGCATGCGAGAGAAGGGGGGGAGACAGCGGAGAGAAAAAGGGGGAGACAGCGGAGAAAAAAGGGGAGAGAAAAAAAAGGGGAGACAGCAGAGAGAAAAAGGGGGATACGGTGGAGAGAAAAGGGAGAAGACAGCGTAGAGAAAAGGGGGGAGACAGTGGAGAGAAAAGGGGGGAGACAGCGAGAGAAAAGGGGGGAGACAGCAGAGAGAAAAAAGGGGGAGACAGCATAGAGAAAAAAGGGGAGACAGCAGAGAAGAAAAGGGGGGAGATAGAGAGAAAAGGGGGGAGACAGCATAGAGAAAAAAGGGGAGACAAAAAAGGGGGAGGCAGCGTGCAAGAGAAAAGGGGGAGGCAGCGTGCAAGAGAAAAGGGGGAGACAGCGTGGGACAGAAAAGGGGGGAAGCAGCGTGTGAGAGAGAAAAGGGGAGGAAGTGGAGAGAAAAAGGGGGGAGACTGGGGGGGGAAGGGAAGAAAAAAAGGGGGAGACAGAGGAGAGACAAGGGGGGAGACAGCAGAGAGAAATGGGGGGAGACAGCGGAGAGAAAAAGGGGGAGACAGCGGAGAGAAAAGGGGGGAGACAGCAGAGAGAAAATGGGGGAAATAGAGAGAAAAGGGGGGAGACAGTGGAGTAAAAAAGTGGGGAGGCAGTGTGCGAGAGAAAAGGGGGGAGGCAGCGTGCGAGAGACAAGGGGGGAGGTAGTGTGTGAGAGAAAAGGGGAGGAAGTGGAGAGAAAAAGGAGGAGACAGGGGAGAGACAAGAGGGGAGACAGCAGAGAGAAAAGGGGGGAGACAGCGGAGAGAAAAGGGGGAAGATAGAGAGAAAAGGGGGGAGACAGTAGAGCAAAAAAGGGGGGAGGCAGCGTGGGAGAGAAAAGGGGGCAGGCAGCTTGAGGCATCACGCGAGAGAAAAGGGGGGAGGCAGCGTGGGACAGAAAAGGGGGGGAGGAAACGTGAGGCAGCATGCGAGAGAAAAGAGGGAGGAAGCAGAGAGAAAAAAAGGGGGAGACAGTGGAGAGAAAAAGGGGGAGACAGCGGAGAGAAAAGGGGGGAGACAGCGGAGAGAAAAAGGGGAGAGAATGGAGCAAAAATGGGGGGAGGCAGCGTGTGAGAGAAAAGGGGGGAGGCAGCGTGCAAGAGAAGAGGGGAGACAACCTGCAAGAGAAGAGGGGGGACAACCTGCAAGAGAAGAAGAGGGGGGACAACCTGCAAGAGAAGAGGGGGGACAATCTATCGTCTCATTCCATTATTCTGCTCTAACTCCACCTCTGACAATACTCACCTGGATCGCCGGCTCTCCTCTGGTGCTGGATTATGGCGATAACAGCGATGGCCGTCACAACTACTACTCCAATCATCTGCAGGCGGATGTCCAGCCACTGGATGGCGGTATTACTGGCGAACACGCAGCGCTGGTTCACGTCTAGACGAGACTCACATTCAACTTTAAACCTACAAACAAAAGAAGCTCTGACCACTAACATAACACAAAAGAAACACAGGTAACAATAGAAAGCTTTCCATTCTAGATGGAGGGATTGGGATTGACAATCACCTGTGCATCCACCTATTTCTAGGCTTCCGCCCCAACCTGAAATTCCCATTCTCTCACTGCCTCCCCTTTCCCTCCATTGGCGTATCTCGTTCTCACAAACAACAGAGTGAGGTTAATCCAGAGGAACCCCGAATGTACTCAGAAACACAGACATGGCATCCACAGAGTACATGAAGTGAATAGCATTTTGCTGTCCTTTTGCTGTCCTAGTGCTGATCTAGCAGGCAGCCCATAATAATGAATGGACAAGTATTATATTCATTATTACAGGTACTTATATAGCGCCGCGCATTTACACAGTCAGTCCCTAACCCTCAAGGGGGTAAATCTAAGGTCCCTAACCCTCAAGGGGTGTACAATCTAAGGTCCCTAACCCTCAAGGGGTGTACAATCTAAGGTCCCTAACCCTCAAGGGGTGTACAATCTAAGGTCCCTAACCCTCAAGGGGCGTACAATCTAAGGTCCCTAACCCTCAAGGGGCGTACAATCTAAGGTCCCTAACCCTCAAGGGGCGTACAATCTAAGGTCCCTAACTCACATTCATACATACACATACTAGGGACAATTTAGACAGGAGCCAATTAACCTAGCAGCATGTCTTTGGAGTGTGGGAGGAAACCGGAGTACCTCGAGGAACCCAACACAGGCACAGGGAGAACATGAGAACATGCAAACTCCAGGCAGGAGGTGCCGTGGTTGGGATTCGAACCAACGACCCTAGTACTGCCAGGTGGAAGTGCTAACCATTTAGACGTATGGGGTCCCTGACGACGTCAACTAGATGACGAAACACGTCAGGTAGAGCTTCAGCGTGTGACGTCATCACGTTTTTTTTGGAGGGACGGCGGCCATTTTCTTGGTTGGAAACTTGATTCAAATGCTGGTAACCGTCCAAAACAATGTACCAGTAACTTGAAATTAAACAGGTTAGTTTTATTACTTAAATACTACACTATAAGTGGCCTTTTTCATTTATTCTATAACTAAATATTGAATGAGAGTCTTCTTTTAGGACCGATTTCAGATCTTTAAAAGGGAAGATAGATATCCACCTGGATGAGGACTGCTGGTTCCATGATCTACAGTTTCAGATCCCATTTGAGTTGCCTATATTGACCGGTATGTTTCGGTCAGAATTTCTGGTGAGAGGCTGAACCATTCGGGTGTCCTGGTGATGGTGGATCGTGGGAATAGTTTTGGGACTTTTATAACTGTAACTTTTTCTTTTTTATTGGACTTTATGTTTTATTTTTGATCAGCGCTGCAATTTTATATATTTTTTTATTCACTAACACAGGCTGCCTGCACACAGCTCAGTGCTAGGAAAGAAAATTGTATTAAGGGTGGAACATGTAACATGTTCCTGCTCTCACAGCCTCTCCCCCCCCCCCCCCCCCCCCCAATGCCAATCACTTTGTGACAGCAGGCCAGGGGTCTTCTCCCTGCACTGGCTGTCACAATTCAAAAACAGCACAACACATCATTTATTCACAGATTCCTGTACGGTTTGTAGTTCTGGACGGACTGCGAGGGTGCTGGAGAGCTCTCTCGTAGTTTTCACAAGAGCTGCAGCTTGTGAACATTCAGCCCATATGAAGGTACGGGCTAAAAGATGCAGGGCTTGCCTGCAGAAGCCTGAGATTGCACCCCTGGTCCAATTTTTTTCCTGGGCTCCTGCAGGAAAAAAATTATCAATAAATACATCTTTCTGCAAAAATATGGACATTTATTATTTGAGTTCCACTCAAGCTATCAAAAAATAAAAGTCAGCAGCTACAAAAACTGTAGCTGCTTACTTTTAAAAAACAGTCACTTACCTGTCCGTCGGTCCCGTGGTGTGTCCCCCGCAGCTTGTATCACCGGGCCGTCTTGTATTCCAGGAGGCCGGCATCTTCAGTGTGGGCACCCGGCTGTGACAGCTTGCAGCTTCACAGCCGGGAGCCCACTATGCATGCGCGAGTAGCACTGCGCTTCATGAATGGTCCTGTAGTCTTCTGGGACCTGTCATGTGTCTCAAAAGACTTCAGGGAGGGAGGACAACTTCCACTTCCGATCGCCTAGGCGATCAGATCGGAAGTGAGAGCGGGTTCCTGTCAAATTCGGGTACCCGCCCCCCCTCTCACCCCCCAAAGGTGCCAATCCCTAATGGGGAGCGGGGGAGCAGTCCTTAAAGCGGAACTTCCCCTTTTGGATGGAGCTCTGCTTTAAAAGACAAACTTATCCTTTAAGCTGGAAGCCCAGATGGATGAATCTCCCGTCGCGGCTATTGACTGGATGCAGTAGCTGTTCAGCCGATTTCCTGCCAGGCTCCCTCGAAATTTCCATTCAGATGGAGTGGTGCCAAAAGGGCTGTCCACTAAATCGAACTGCGGCTGATTCTTTAGGAACGGATCAAAATGCGCCCAGTGTATGCCTAGCTTTATTATTGTACTCCTGGGAGTGAATACAATTGTATATTGAACTGCACTTTGGAAGGATTGTGTGTGAGTTTATTCTTGTCACATTTATAGTCACTAGCTGTACAAAATAAGGACTTAAAGCGTCACTAAAAGGAAAACCTTTTTTTTTTCATTTTGGGTAGAGTAAGGGAGCGGTATAACCCCCATCAGTTTTTCTTTTTGCCATCTGTGCCCCATTGGAGATCTTTTCTGTCACTTCCTGTTACATAGCCAAAGCATGATGTGAGAGGAAATCCCTCCAAAGTAAGGAAATCCCAAGGTCGGCAGAACTAGTGTCCCCATTGGAAGATTTCCCCTCTATTAGTGTTCTCGTTTCAAACCAAAATTTGGAATTCACTTTTGATGACTGGCATTTTGTTGAGGTCATCACAGAGGACAAGGGGGCGCTCTTTACGTCTGGAGGAAAAGAAATGTAATCTCCAAACACGGAAAGGTTTCTTCACAGTAAGGCTACATTCACACTAGCTTTGTCAGCGGGCGCCAGGGAAGCGTCAGCGTCACAGCAAAACTGACGCCTCATGTCAAGTCAGGAGGAGTTGAAGCCTCCCATTCAAGTCTATGGTGCCGCTCCTCAAACGTCTGGCTGGCATTTGCGGGGCGTTTGTGAAGCGGTTGTGAGGCATTTGCAAAGCGTTAATACCATTTACCTTCATTATAGGTGTTTGTGGTGCGGTTTTAAGCTTGGAAAACGTCTATCAAACGCCTCAAAACCGCACAAAAGGGTGTTTGGGGAGCATTTGAGGAGCGTTAAAAACGCTTCCCAAATGCCTGTCTAACGCTTGTCAAATGCTATAGGGGCGTTTGGCAAGAGTTAGAAATAAAGTCAAGTATGAACGAGCCCTAAGTTTTTCTCGTTTCAACCCAAAATTTAGAATTCACTTTTGATGACTGGCATTTTGATGAGGTCATCAGAGAACAAGGGGGCGCTCTTTACGTCTGGAGGAAAAGAAATTTAATCTCCAAACATGGAAAGGTTTCTTCACAGTAAGACTGCGTTCACACTAGCTTTGTCAGCGGGCGTCAGACAGGCATTTGGGGAGCGTTTTTAGTGCTTCTCAAACGCCTATGAAAATTCTGCACACGGCAGCACACAGTGCTGTTCACACGGAAGCGTTAACGTCACGTCACGTTGCGGCAAAACTGACGCTTCGTGTCCAGTCAGGAGGAGTTGAAGTCTCCCATTCAAGTCTACGGTGCCGCTTAACTAGTTGCCGACCGCAGATAGCCGAATGACGGCTAAACTGCAGCCAGCCAGTTCTGAGTGGACGTCATATGACGTCCTCCCAGAACGCGCTCTCCTGCGCGCCCCAGGGGGCGCGCACCCGGCGATCTCCGTGATCGCTGTGTCCTACGGACACAGCTGATCACGTGATGTGGTAAAAGGCCAATCATACCGGCCTTTTACCACGTGATCAGCGGTGTCCAATAACACGCTGATCACAGGGAAATGCAAGTGCCGGTTCTCGGCTGCACTTTCCTCACGCTGTCAGATTGTGAGGAAAGTACTGCCGAGAACCGGCAGTTGTCAGAGCGGGGATCGGCACCGATCATCAGGGCACTGATGATCAGTGCCCTGATGATCGGTGCCCAGCAATGCCACCCGCAAGTTCCGCCCACCTGTGCCCAGCAGTGCGCCCACTAGCTCCGCCCACCTGTACCCAGCAGATCACCCACCTGTGCCCAGCAGTGCACCCACCTGTGCCACTCTGCAGTGTCACACACCTGTGCCCAGCAGTGCCACCCACCTGTGCCCACCAACCTGTGCCCACCAGTGCCACCCACCTGTGCCCACCCACCAGTGCTGCCCACCAGTGCCACCCACCAGTGCTGCCAGTCAGTGCCCAGGGGTTGTGCCAGTCAGTGCCGCCAGTCAGTGCCCAGCAGTGATGCCAGTCAGTGCCGTCTATCAGTACCCATCATCAGTGTCACCTATCAGTGTCGCCTATCAGTGCTGCATATTAGTGCCGCCTATCCGTGACACCTCATTAGTGCTGTCTATCAGTGCCGCCTATCCGTGCCACCTCATTAGTACTGCCTATCAGTGCCCTTTAGTGCTGCCTTCAGTGCCCATCAGTGCCGCCTATTCAGTGCCCATCAGTGCTGCCTCATCAACGCACATCAGTGAAGGAGAAAAAATACCTGTTTGAAAAATTTTATAATAGAAACAAAGAAACTTTTTTTTTTTTTTCAAATTTTTTTTTTTAATTTATAGCGCAAAAAGTAAAGCGCCCAGTGGCGATTAAATACCACCAAAAGAAAGCTCTATTTGTGAGAAAAAAATGATCAAAATTTCATATGGGTACAATGTTGCATGACCGCGCAATTGTCAATCAAAGTGCGGCAGCGCTGAAAGCTGAAAATTGGCCTGGTAAATAAGGGGGTATAAGTGCCTGGTAGGAAAGTGGTTAATAACACTCCTCAAACAATCTTTTTTTTTTGGGGGATAGAGTGGAAAGGCACTAGAACCCTGTCAGTTTTTTTTGCTGGGATTTTTGCCTTCCTCTGGATCAACTGTGGGTGTAGGTGTAGGAGGTGTTGGTGCGGTTGTGGAGCGTTAATACCATTTAACTTCATTATAGGCGTTTGTGGTGCGGTTTTAATGCTTGGCAAATGCCTATCAACCGCCTCAAACCCGCATATGGGGCATTTGGGGAGCATTAAAAACACTTCCCAAACGCCTGTCTAACACCTGTCAAATGCTATAGGGGCGCTTGGCAAGAGTTAGAACTAAAGTCAAGTGTGAACGAGCCCTAATCTCCAAACACGGAAAGGTTTCTTCACAGTAAGAGCTGTGAGAATGTGGAATAGACTCCCTCAAGAGTTGGTTGTGGCCAGCTCAGTGGATTGCTGTAGGAAAGTCCTGGATTCTTTCTTGGATATGCAGAATATAACTGGATATAACATTTATAGGGAAAGTTGATCCAGGGAATATCCGATTTCCTCTCGGGGGATCAGGAAGGAATTTTTTCCCTGCAGGAGCAAATTGGATCGTGCTTTGCTGGGTTTTTTGCCTTCTTCTGATCACCTGTGGGTGTAGGATTATAACTGGTTTTTTTTTAATGGTTGAACTGGATGGACTTTTGTCTTTTTTTTCAGCCAGACTAACTATGTAACTATGATGATAACGGTAAACAGAACAAATAGAGAGGGTGCATCTCCCTAATGAGGGGGCACAGACAGCAATAAAAACTGACAGGGGTTCTAGTGCCTTTCCAGTCTATCCCAAAAAAAAAAAAAAGATTTGCCTTTAGTTACACTTTAATTTGTACATATTTTCACAGATGCTTTGCCCATGATATATGCACAATTGTTGTGGTTTTATTCATCCAATTATTTATTGCACTAACTGCTATTTATAATGCTTCATATTTTTGTATCCATGCGACTCCAGAAGGGGCATCAAGACTTAGTGATTGTTTGATTTCCTTTATCAGCAAGTGGATGGGAATATGGATCTCTCTGGTTGAACTGGATCAATTCTGAAGTTGAGAACATCAAGCTGTGTATACTTGTGTGCGTGTAATCTCCCCAGCTGCATAACTGCCACTGCAGACATGTCTGGAACATTGTTACACGTAATCTGAGCTATTCATGAGAATGGAAATCAGAATTAAACAAGGAAATATATTTCTGTTAAAGTGTTACTAAACCCTGGACCCCGCATTCACTAGATCCGCTCTCCCTGGACCCTGCATTCACTAGATCCGCTCTCCCTGGACCCTGCATTCACTAGATCCGCTCTCCCTGGACCCTGCATTCACTATATCCACTCTCCCCGGACCCCGCATTCACTATATCCGCTCTCCCGGACCCTGCATTCACTATAGCCGGTCTCCCCGGACCCTGCATTCGCTATATCTGGTCTCCCGGGACCCTGCATTCACTATATCCGCTCTCCCCAGACCCTGCATTCACTATATCCGGTCTCCCCGGACCCTGCATTCACTATATCCGCTCTCCCCAGACCCTGCATTCACTATATCCGCTCTCCCCGGACCCTGCATTCACTATATCCGGTCTCCCCGGACCCTGCATTCACTATATCCGGTCTCCCGGACCCTGCATTCACTATAGCCGGTCTCCCCGGACCCTGCATTCACTATAGCCGGTCTCCCCGGACCCTGCATTCACTATAGCCGGTCTCCCCGGACCCTGCATTCGCTATATCTGGTCTCCCCGGACCCTGCATTCACTATATCCGGTCTCCCCGGACCCTGCATTCACTATATCCGCTCTCCCCGGACCCTGCATTCACTATATCCGGTCTCCCCGGACCCCGCATTCACTATATCTGGTCTCCCCGACCCTGCATTCACTATATCCGGTCTCCCCGGACCCTGCATTCACTATATCCGCTCTCCCCGACCCTGCATTCACTATATCTGGTCTCCCCAGACCCTGCATTCACTATATCTGGTCTCGCTGGACCCTGCATTCACTATATCCGCTCTCCCCGGACCCTGCATTCACTATATCTGGTCTCCCCGGACCCCGCATTCACTATATCCGCTCTCCCAGGACCCTGCATTCACTATATCCGCTCTCCCCGGACCCTGCATTCACTATATCCGCTCTCCCCGGACCCTGCATTCACTATATCCGCTCTCCCCGGACCCTGCATTCACTATATCCGCTCTCCCCGGACCCTGCATTCACTATATCCGCTCTCCCCGGACACTGCACTCACTATATCTGGTATCTGGAAAAGCAATTCTTTTAGTAAATACAAACTGCTAAATACCTTTTCTCATTAGCAGTATATAGCAGTCTTGTGACTTCTATCAGTGTCCAGCCAAGAATTTTAAAACTTGTAGGAGGAGTTTTCATTCTGCTCTGGGAGGATGCAAGACCCCTGACCTCTGTCTGGACAGTGCTGATTGGCCCTGTGCTGATCACATGCACCCTCGCAAAAAACAAAAAAAAAAAAAAAAACTCTAGCAATACACACCAAACTGAGCATATGCAGAATGACTCCACATGATATGTCTTATCAGGAGATAAGAGGGGGGCACTGGAAGAAGGGGAGGATCAGAGAAGAAAGGAGCAAACAGCCTTTTTACACAATGTGGAGGATTAACCCCTTAGGCTCCACAGAGAGTATAAACAAGCATGCTTTACTGCATCTACAGACTGATGGTACTGTTGTGGGTTTAGTAACACTTTAAGGTCTCTTATGAGAAGCTCCACAGGGTATATTGCAGTCTGATTCAGAGGCAGGTCAGCTCACCTGTCAGTATGGCGTGTGGCGCGGATGGTGCTCAGGCCGGACAATGTCTCAGAGAAGTGGCTGTAGATCGGAGAGAGGGTGATGCTTTGCAGCCGCTTGAGCTCGCGAGACGTGTGGCGGTAAAATCTCTGAATGGAATAGTACAAGAGACCCAGAGGAAGGAGGACAGGCAGGATCCATGGCAGACCGTAGCTGATCATCACCAGCATGCCCAGCAGACCAAAGATGTTGGCCAAGAATATATTGAGCATGAAGGGCAGAAAATCATCCACGCAGTACATATCGGAGGAGAATCGATTGATGATGCGTCCAACTGGCGTGCTGTCGAAGAACGTTACTGTGGCCTAATGAGGAGAGACAGGTAGGAAAATAGAGAGAGCATCAGGAGAATGAAGAGGGACAGATGAGAGTAACCTGAGGAGTAAGAGGATCAAGAGGAGATAGGGGACAATGACCTGAGGATAGAGTTAAAGAGATGGAGAGGGGATGAGAGACAGTGGCCTGGGGAGAGTTATGAAGATGGAGAACAGACTGAAGACACTGAGGTGAAGAGAGCTAGGAAGATGGAGAGGAGACTGAAGACATTGAGGTGAGGAGAGTTGGGAAGATGGAGAGGAGACTGAAGACATTGAGGTGAGGAGAGCTAGGAAGACAAGGAGGAGACTGAAGACACTGAGGTGAGGAGAGCTAGGAAGATGGAGGAGACTGAAGACATTGAGGTGAGGAGAGCTAGGAAGATGGAGGAGACTAAAGACATTGAGGTGAGGAGAGCTAGGAAGATAGAGGAGACTAAAGACATTGAGGTGAGGAGAGCTAGGAAGACAGAGAGGAAACTGAAGACACTGAGGTGAGGAGAGCTAGGAAGATGGAGAGGAGACTGAAGACATTGAGGTGAGGAGAGCTAGGAAGATGAAAAGGAGACTGAAGACATTGAGGTGAAGAGAGCTAGGAAGATGAAGAGGAGACTGAAGACAATGAGGTGAGGAGAGCTAGGAAGATGAAAAGGAGACTGAAGACATTGAGGTGAGGAGAGCTAGGAAGATGGAGGAGACTGAAGACACTGAGGTGAGGAGAGCTACGAAGATGGAGGAGACTGAAGACATTGAGGTGAGGAGAGCTAGGAAGATGAAAAGGAGACTGAAGACATTGAGGTGAGGAGAGCTAGGAAGATAGAGGAGACTGAAGACACTGAGGTGAGGAGAGCTACAAAGATGGAGGAGACTGAAGACATTGAGGTGAGGAGAGCTATGAAGATGGAGAGGAGACTGAAGACAATGAGTTGAGGAGAGCTAGGAAGATAGAGGAGACTAAAGACATTGAGGTGAGGAGAGCTAAGAAGACAAAGAGGAAACTGAAGACACTGAGGTGAGGAGAGCTAGGAAGATGGAGAGGAGACTGAAGACATTGAGGTGAAGAGAGCTAGGAAGATGAAGAGGAGACTGAAGACACTGAGGTGAGGAGAGCTAGGAAGATAAAAAGGAGACTGAAGACATTGAGGTGAGGAGAGCTAGGAAGATGGAGGAGACTGAAGACACTGAGGTGAGGAGAGCTACGAAGATGGAGGAGACTGAAGACATTGAGGTGAGGAGAGCTAGGAAGATGAAAAGGAGACTGAAGACATTGAGGTGAGGAGAGCTAGGAAGATGGAGAGGAGACTGAAGACATTGAGGTGAGGAGAGCTACGAAGATGGAGGAGGACTGAAGACACTGAGGTGAGGAGAGCTAGGAAGACAGAGAAGAAACTGAAGACACTGAGGTGAGGAGAGCTAGGAAGATGGAGAGGAGACTGAAGAGATTGAGGTGAGGAGAGCTAGGAAGATGGAGAGGAGACTGAAGACATTGAGGTGAGGAGAGCTAGGAAGATGGAGGAGACTGAAGACATTGAGGTGATGAGAGCTAGGAAGATGGAGGAGACTGAAGTCATTGAGGTGAGGAGAGAGCTACGAGGATGGAGGAGACTGAAGACATTGAGGTGAGGAGAGCTAGGAAGATGAGAGGAGACTGAAGACATTGAGGTGAGGAGAGCTAGGAAGATGGAGGAGACTGAAGACGATGAGGTGAGGAGAGCTAGGAAGATGGAGGAGACTGAAGTCACTGAGGTGAGGAGAGCTTTGAAGATGAATAGGAAATAACTGAAGAGAAAGAGAAGGTTAGAGAGTGGTTGGAGGTACTGACCTGAGGAGAGAGAGTTAGGAGGACGGAGGAAGGATTGAGATGGATGGAGGACACTGGCCTGATGATAGTGAGTTAGGAATATAGACAGGGGATGGAGGACATTGACTGATCACACAACACCACAAATCGGAAATTCTACACACCTGCAGCACTCTCTGCAATAAGCGCCTGTGGATTGCGGTGGCGGCGTGCACAGTTCCCAGGGCGAAGAGCAGCGCTCGCAAAGCGGTGAAGATGGAATTGGCCGCTGCAATCCCACCATATACTGACAGATAGAAGGTTATATTCCCAGAACTGTTCTGATCTGCAGACTCAGCCCATCTCACTGGAGACCTGGAAGAGGACAAACAATGTAACATGTTAAAAGACTGGGAGCAAGGCGGTGCACACATTATTATATACCAAGCTGGGGGAAAGGAGGAAGAGGGAAGCGGAGGTGTGCACCCAGCATTATACAGCAGGGTAGGGGAGGGGATAGAGGACTGGAGGGGTGCTTCCAGCATTATATACCAGGATGTAGAGGGGGAGGAAGCGGGGAGCAAAGGGGTGCAACAAGCATTATACACCAGGGTGGAGAAGGGGAGGGGATGGGGAGATGAGGAGTAAACACAGCATTATACCCTATGGTAGAGGAGGGGAACACCCCGCATTATCCTTCAGGGTGGAGGAGAAGACAGAGAGCAGCAAAGAGGTGCACGCGACATTACACACCGGGGTAGAGAAGAGACGCACAGGAAAGGGTAGAGGACAGCAAACAATATTCCCAACGCACATGTTCCTGAAGTAGGCTAAGAGACAGATTGCTGCTGCAGCAACTGGCAGCTGGAAACTGATAACATCACAGATTTCAATACATATTGCCAGCACACCAACGATTTTCAAGTAACATCCACTTTTATTCAGAGTAGTCACATCACAGTGGAAAGGTGAGCGGCACCCTTCTGCTGTGTTGTGATCACTCTCACTACATAGATCCCTTTGAGAACGTGCGTGCGCACGAAACGCGTCAGAAGGGGCCTACGTGCTGACGTCACGCCGCCGTGTCCACGTGATGGTCCGGCGGCCATCTTTGTAAGTGCTTTTTATCCATTCATGATTTTATGTTCCATGTGGTTGCTATCTTTTAAATAAAACATACTACACTATATGATACTGTCTCCGGGCTAGGTCTAAGAGCTTGCCCTCTAGTAGGAATAGCTTCCCTTGGTTCACCGTGGGCTGTAGATGGAGACTTGGCTACTCTACTTCTGATTTTCATTTGGTGTATCACTGGCGTCTGGAGAGATCCCACCTTTAACCTGGGTCACCAGCAGGAGGAACAAGCAGGAACACCCCTTAGTGTCATTCCGCTCTGGGCTTGCTTGCTACTTACTTCTGGTGAGTGCATTATGGTGGAGTTGCAGCGCAGAAGTTACTACATTTTGTTGATTTGATCACATCACTATTTTTGGGACTGTTATGAAATTTAGAGGACTTGTTTATTTTCATTTGTTATTTGTTATACCGTCCATTTTGTTTCTTCATTGGAGTATTCACTATTCTCCATTTCTTTTTTATGATGATTCCTTTCTCTTTTACGATCACACTGGTCATCATTGATTAGAACGCACATTTTTATTAGAGCTGCACATTGATATTATAGTACTTTGAATATATACAGTCAGGTCCATAAATATTGGGACATCGACACAATTCTAAAATTTTTGGCTCTATACACCCCCACAATGGATTTGAAATGAAACAAACAAGATGTGCTTTAACTGCAGACTGTCAGCTTTAATTTGAGGGTATTTACATCCAAATCAGGTGAACGGTGTAGGAATTACAACAGTTTGCATATGTGCCTCCCACTTGTTAAGGGACCAAAAGTAATGGGACAATCGGCTTCTCAGCTGTTCCATGGCCAGGTGTGTGTTATATTTCCTCTCATTATCCCAATTACAATGAGCAGATAAAAGGTCCAGAGTTCATTTCAAGTGTGCTATTTGCATTTGGAATCTGTTGCTGTCAGCTCTCAATATGAGATCCAAAGAGCTGTCACTATCAGTGAAGCAAGCCATCATTAGGCTGAAAAAACAAAACAAACCCATCAGAGAGATAGCAAAAACATTAGGCGTGGCTAAAAACAACTGTTTGGAACATTCTTAAAAAGAAGGAACGCACCGGTGAGCTCAGCAACACCAAAAGACCCAGAAGACCACGGAAAATAACTGTGGTGGATGACCGAAGAATTCTTTCCCTGGTGAAGAAAAAACCCTTCACAACAGTTGGCCAGATCAAGAACACTCTCCAGGAGGTAGGTGTATGTGTGTCAAAGTCACCAATCAAGAGAAGACTTCACCAGAGTGAATACAGAGGGTTCCACACAAGATGGAAACCATTGGTGAGCCTCAAAAACAGGAAGGCCAGATTAGAGTTTGCCAAACGACATGTAAAAAAGCTTCACAGTTCTGGAACAACATCCATGGACAGATGAGACCGACATCAACTTGTACCAGAGTGATGGGAAGAGAAGAGTATGGAGAAGGAAAGGAACTGCTCATGGTCCTCAGCATACCACCTCATCAGTAAAGCATGGTGGTGGTAGTGTCATGGCGTGGGCATGTATGGCTGCCAATGGGACTGGTTCTGGTATTTATTGATGATGTGACTGCTGACAAAAACAGCCGGATGAATTCTGAAGTGTTTCGGGAATATATCTGCTCATATTCAGCCAAATGCTTCACAACTCATTGGACGCCTCTTCACAGTGCAGATGGGACAATGACCCAAAGCAGACTGCAAAAGCAACCAAAGAGTTTTTTAAGGGAAAGAAGTGGAATGTTATGCAATGGCCAAGTCAATCACCTGACCTGAATCCGATTGAGCATTTCACTTGCTGAAGACAAAACTGAAGGGAAAATGCCCCAAGAACAAGCAGGAACTGAAGACAGTTGCAGTAGAGGCCTGGCAGAGCATCACCAGGGATGAAACCCAGCGTCTGGTGATGTCTATGCGTTCCAGACTTCAGGCTGTAATTGACTGCAAAGGATTTGCAACCAAGTATTAAAAAGTGAAAGTTTGATTTATGATTATTATTCTGTCCCATTACTTTTGGTCCCTTAACAAGTGGGAGGCACATATGCAAACTGTTGTAATTCCTACACCGTTCACCTGATTTGGATGTAAATACCCTCAAATTTATAAAGCTGACAGTCTGCAGTTAAAGTATATCTTTTTCCTTTCATTTCAAATCCATTGTGGTGGTGTATAGAGCCAAAAAAAATGTTAGAATTGTGTCGATGTCCCAATATTTATGGACCTGACTGTATGTATTGCTTGACGATCTTTGGTGTGCTGGAAACATGTACTTTAGCAATGGTAGAGGGAAGCTTTGCACCCAACTTTATACGCTGGGCTGGGGAGGGGAGTGGTTCCCGCAGCCTTACGCACCAAGGAGAGTAATGTACAAAGCATTACAACCCAGGGTAAGTTGTAATGGTGCACACGGCATTCTACATTGGGGTCAGATATGGAAGAGGAGATAGAGGTAAGTACTACATGCAGCATTATACATCAGGGTAGGGAAGAAGAAGTAGCGAGAAGCGGAGTGTAAGCAGCATTCTATAGGAGTTAACCACCTCCCGTCCGGCCCATGTATATAAACAGCCAGACGGTGGCAGTGCAGGGTCGGGTGGCAGTTTATAAACGGCCTCCCCGCCCCCTACCGCTCCCTGGGAGCACGCACGTAGCACCGCGATCCGGTGCCCGCTGTGTCCTCCGGACACAGTGGAACACCGATCGTCGTACTGGACCTCTGTGCGAGGTCCCGATCATGTGATCACTGATTGGCCAATCAGTGATCACATGAAGAGTAGTAAGCAAGATGTCACTTCTGACATCATTGCTTACTACGTGCGAAATCTGTGAATGATCACAGAGATCACATGGTACAAAGCTATTCACAACAGCCTTGTACCATGTGACAAGCTGTGACCAATCACAGCTCTCACAGTAGTTCTCAATGGCTGCAAGAATGCAGCCAGAGAGAAGGAGAAATGATTGCTTTTACAGCCTTTATGGTTATAAACTAATTTGGGTTATTTTTTTTTTTACTAAAAAGATAACTGAATAAATTTTGGCCAAGATTTAAGATGAAATATTATTTATTTGCAAAATTTTATAATGCTTGAGATGATTGTAGCCGTATTAGTGCATTGCGACAGAAACAATTGAGTACTGTCCTTGATACTTTTTTATTTGCAATAACATACAATTTTGAGGACAAGCTTTCGGGGTATGTCCCCTTCTTCAAAGTCCAAACAGTACTATTACAAATCACAAAGTTTAAGCAGAATGTTAGAAGGGATTGAAAAAAAAAAGAAAAAAAAAAAAAAGGCTACAGATAAGATACATCAAAAGCGGGAGGGGGGGGGGGGGATACTACACTCACACAGAGGGGGTCAAGCTTCAGCTGATAGTCATAAAACTGTCGGATAATGGTTGAGGATAATGGTTAAAATTTTATAAGAAACACTTTTTTTCAAATTTTTGGACTTTTTAATTTACATAGCAAAAAAATAAAAATGCCAGCGGTGAATAAATACCACCAAAATTAAGCTTTATCTGTCTCAAAAAAATGCAAAAAAATTCATATGGGTACAGTGTTGCATGACCGCGCAATTGTCATTCAAAGTGTGATAGCGCTGAAAGCTGAAAATTGGTCTGGACAGGAAGGGGGTAAAAGTGTCCGGACTGGACGTGGTTAAAGGAGAAGTACAGCCAAAGCTTTTTTGGCTGTACTTCTACTGTAGATCACAGGAGTGCAGTTTGTTGGGAAGCCTGCTGTCGGCTAGCGTCACTCAGCTGGTCCAGGCTGTGGAAGGATCCCGACTTCAAAGTTGGGATCCACCCCAAAGTCTGGAGCAACATCTAGCTCAGCCTCTCAGTGAAGCACTAAGAGCCTGAGCCAGCCGCTCCCTCTACAGTCCAGCGCTCCAGTGAGTGTTGGGGGGGGCTGAGCAGAGAGCGGTGACAGTCCCGTTCTCTGCTCAGAGCTAAGAGGAGAGCTCAGCGATCAGCGGAGTGGAGAACTCAGCGATCGGCAGGGGACAGATGCAGCATATACCTAGTATAAACAGAGGGGAAAACAAAAAAGCCCTACTTCTCTTTTAAGCGGGAATAAGGCGCTCAGCAATAAACACTCCATTACCTGTAAAAATATATTAATTACCAGAAGAAGATCTAATCTCTGTACTGTACAGGGGCGGACTGACAAACTCATGGGGCCCCGGGCAATAGGGGATCATGGGGCCCCTGTGTCCTTGCCCAAACTCAAAAAAGCCTATGAAAAAGTTACCAGGGGCATCTCATGGGGCCCCCTACTGACCCCGGCCCCTCGGGCAGTGCCCAAGTTTGCAAATGGTCAGTTCGCCCCTGGTACTGTAGCATGTGTGCTGGCACTGTTATGCCACGTATGATACCACTACTTGTCTTGCTGTGACCGGAGACCCCAGCTGGGGAGCCCCTGATTGTTATACTCACACAAGAGTTCCGGAGGAGAAGAGAAGCAGTGCAGGTGACGGTACAGGAGGGATCAGCACTGACATTGACACATTTCTTGACATGTCTGAGAAGCTTGCAATCCAGTGTGACAGCCACCAGTCAGACACATTCCTGGAAGCTGAAATACAATGTTCAGACAATGTATCAGTGACAAGTAAGATACATGCCCCATCATGACCTCCCAACAGTCACGGATTGGGCGGGAATTTCCCACATTTTCACCTTTGTCCCGCGGTCCCGGTGTATAGGAGCTTTGCCCGTGGTCCGGTGTACAAGGGCTTTGTCCCGTGGTCCTGGTGTACAGGGGCTTTATCCTGCGGTCCTGGTGTACAGGGGCTTTATCCTGCGGTCCTGGTGTATAGGGGCTTTGTCCCGCGGTCCCGGTGTACAGAGGCTTTGTCCCGCAGTCCCAGTGTACAGGGGCTTTATCCCGCGGTCCTGGTGTATAGGGGCTTTATCCCGCGGTCCCGGTGTACAGGGGCTTTGTCCCGCAGTCCCAGTGTACAGGGGCTTTATCCCGCAGTCCCGGTGTACAGGGGCTTTATCCTGCGGTCCTGGTGTATAGGGGCTTTGTCCCGCAGTCCCGGTGTACAGAGGCTTTGTCCCGCAGTCCCAGTGTACAGGGGCTTTGTCCCGCGGTCCCGGTGTACAGGGGCTTTGTCCCGCGGTCCCGGTGTACAGGGGCTTTGTCCCGCTGCACAGGGTTTTGTACAGGGGCTTTGTCCCGCTGCACAGGGTTTTGTCCCGCGGTCCCGGTGTACAGGGGCTTTGTCCTGCATTACTATTCTTTCTATACTAACTTCCAGCCGAGCCGGGCCTGCAGCAGTGTGAACATCTAGTACAGCCAGGAATTTGGCAGGCAAGCCAGCGGGGTTTGCAGCCGCAATGAGAGAAAGCGTGCAGCTATCAACTCCAACCTGTGATGTTGGGGATGGGCGGGGCTGATACGCGTTTCAGGGGCTCCACCCCATTTGTCAAGCAAGCACTGCATAGACAAACAGCCGGCATTTATACTGCATGTGCACCCACAGTGGTGTATAATAAACCTGAATTATAAACCGCTGGGGGTGCACATGCAGTAGTTCCAATTGGTCCTGCCCCTTGCCACCTTTCCCAGTTGGCACTGTATAAATGCCAGCTGTTTCCTTATGAATGGGTTGTTTTTAAAAGGGGGTGGAGCCCCTGAAACGCATATCTGCCCCACCCATCCCTGACATCACAGGTTGGACTTGACTGCTGCAGTCTGTCTCATTGCAGCCGTACCCCTGCCGGATTGTTGGCCAATCACTGGCTGTGCTGGATGTTCACACTGCTGCAGGTCCTGCTCGGCTGCACTCATTTGTTATCCATCTGATGCCGGCATTCTTGTCTTGGCTCCTGTATGATGTTAATCAGGATTTTGCACCTTGCAGAAACCCATCTCTGAACCCTGTATGTTTAACTGATGCACTCTGTATGTGGTTTGAAAACCATCTAAGTTCTGCACCTTGCGCTCTGTATGTAAACACATCTCTGAATCCTGCACTCTGTATGAAACACTCCTGAATCCTGCACTCTGTATGAAATGCACTCCTGAACCCTGCACTCTGTATTAAACACATCTCTGAACCTGCACTCTGTATGAAACACTCCTGAATCCTGCACTCTGTATGAAACACTCCTGAATCCTGCAATCTGTATTAAACACATCTCTGAATCCTGCACTCTGTACAAACACAATCCTGCACTCTGATGAAACACTCCTGAATCCTGCACTCTGTATGTAAACCCATCTCCTGAATCCTGCACTCTGTATGAAATGCACTCCTGAATCCTGCACTCTGTATTAAAAACACTCCTGAATCCTGCAATCTGTATGAAACACTCCTGAATCCTGCAATCTGTATGAAACACTCCTGAACCTGATTAGCAATCCTGCACTCTGTATTAAACACATCTCTGAATCCTGCAATCTGTATGAAACACTCCTGAATCCTGCAATCTGTAAACACTCCTGAATCCTGCACTCTGTATGAAACACTCCTGAATCCTGCAATCTGTATGAAACACTCCTGAATCCTGCAATCTGTATGAAACGCTCCTGAATCCTGCAATCTGTATGAAACACTCCTGAATCCTGCACTCTGTATGAAACACACTCCTGAATCCTGCACTCTGTATGAAACACACTCCTGAATCCTGCACTCTGTATGAAACACACTCCTGAATCCTGCAATCTGTATGAAACACACTCTCTGAATCCTAGCACTCTGTATGAAACACTCCTGAATCCTGCAATCTGTATGAAACACACTCCTGAATCCTGCACTCTGTATGAAACACACTCCTGAATCCTGCACTCTGTATGAAACACACTCCTGAATCCTGCACTCTGTACACACACACTCCTGAATCCTGCACTCTGTATGAAACACACTCCTGAATCCTGCACTCTGTATGAAACACACTCCTGAATCCTGCACTCTGTATGAAACACACTCCTGAATCCTGCACTCTGTATGAAACACACTCCTGAACCCTGCACTCTGTATGAAACACACTCCTGAATCCTGCACTCTGTATGAAACACACTCCTGAATCCTGCACTCTGTATGAAACACACTCCTGAACCCTTCACTCTGTATGAAACACACTCCTGAATCCTGCACTCTGTATGAAACACACTCCTGAATCCTGCACTCTGTATGAAACACACTCCTGAATCCTGCACTCTGTATGAAACACACTCCTGAACCCTTCACTCTGTATGAAACACACTCCTGAACCCTGCACTCTGTATGAAACACACTCCTGAATCCTGCACTCTGTATGAAACACACTCCCGAATCCTGCACTCTGTATGAAACACACTCCCGAATCCTGCACTCTGTATGAAACACACTCCCGAATCCTGCACTCTATATGAAACACACTCCCGAATCCTGCACTCTATATGAAACGCACTCCCGAATACTGCACTCTGTATGAAACGCATTCCTGAATCCTGCACTCTGTATGAAACGCATTCCTGAATCCTGCACTCTGTATGAAACACACTCCTGAATCCTGCACTCTATATGAAACACACTCCCGAATACTGCACTCTGTATGAAACACACTCCTGAATCCTGCACTCTGTATGAAACACACTCCTGAATCCTGCACTCTGTATGAAACACACTCCTGAACCCTTCACTCTGTATGAAACACACTCCTGAATCCTGCACTCTGTATGAAACACACTCCTGAATCCTGCACTCTGTATGAAACACACTCCTGAATCCTGCACTCTATATGAAACACACTCTGAATCCTGCACTCTGTATGAAACGCATTCCTGAATCCTACATTCTGTTTGAAACACACTCCTGAATCCTGCACTCTGTATGAAACACACTCCTGAACCCTTCACTCTGTATGAAACACACTCCTGAATCCTGCACTCTGTATGAAACACACTCCTGAATCCTGCACTCTGTATGAAACACACTCCTGAATCCTGCACTCTATATGAAACACACTCCTGAATCCTGCACTCTGTATGAAACACACTCCTGAACCCTTCACTCTGTATGAAACACACTCCCGAATCCTGCACTCTGTATGAAACACACTCCTGAATCCTGCACTCTATATGAAACACACTCCTGAATCCTGCACTCTATATGAAACACACTCCTGAATCCTGCACTCTATATGAAACACACTCCTGAATCCTGCACTCTGTATGAAACACACTCCTGAATCCTGCACTCTGTATGAAACGCACTCTTGAACCCTGAACTCTGCATGAAATGCACTCCTGAATCCTGCACTCTGTATGAAACGCACTCTTGAACCCTGCACTCTGTGCATAATGCATTCCTTAATGCCTCCGCACTTTGTGTATCGCACTCTTCCACAGTTTGTGCAAAACCATTTGTAATGGAAGCGTTTCATACTTTTTTTTTTAAATGATTGTGCTGGGTTTGTGTCCGTGAGACTCTTGCTTGTGGCACAGCAATCAAAGCATATTTTATAGGTACAAGGAAGCCTGGGTGTTGTTTAACCACGCCCCATAGGCCTCTCCTACTGGTAAGCATTTGGCAACAGCCATTTTTTCCACAGTGCGCTACGCATGCAGCACATCACTTCCTCCCTCAAGTGTCCCTCACTCTGAAGTTCAAAAGTTGGGAGATATGCAATACAGTCTGCTGGTAGTTCAGTAACAGGTCTTGGGTTGGCTCAGCCTAGTTCATCTTTGAAGATATAAACACTATATAAGCCCTACCAGCAATACACTTACCCTGCATAAGGAATAAGGCCAGCAGCACCGATACGGCCAGGCAGCTCCCCACTGCCCTCCAATATGCCGCGTACACCTGTAGGGAGACTGCCCCCTCCTTCTTTTCCTCCTCCCCCCATCGCAGAGACAGGGAGCAGGACCTCCTTCCCGTCATTCTCTTCATCAACACCACTGCCACCATTCTCTGCAATCAAAGGAGGGTATTGGGTCAGATGATCAGATATGGGACATATCTCCAGCTCCCACAGAACAGTACTAGGTCAGGTGAGCATATATGGGACATATCTCCAGCTTCCACAGAACAGTACCAGGTCAGGTGATCAGATATGGGACATGTCTCCAGCTCCCACAGAACAGTACCAGGTCAGGTGATCAGATATGGGACATGTCTCCAGCTTCCACAGAACAGTACCAGGTCAGGTGAGCAGATATGGGACATACAGTCAGGTCCATAAATATTGGGACATCGACACAATTCTAACATTTTTGGCTCTATACACCACCACAATGGATTTGAAATGAAACGAACAAGATGTGCTTTAACTGCAGACTGTCAGCTTTAATTTGAGGGTATTTACATCCAAATCAGGTGAACGGTGTAGGAATTACAACAGTTTGCATATGTGCCTCCAACTTGTTAAGGGACCAAAAGTAATGGGACAGAATAATAATCATAAATCAAACTTTCACTTTTTAATACTTGGTTGGAAATCCTTTGCAGTCAATTACAGCCTGAAGTCTGGAACGCATAGACATCCCCAGACGCTGGGTTTCATCCCTGGTGATGCTCTGCCAGGCCTCTACTGCAACTGTCTTCAGTTCCTGCTTGTTCTTGGGGCATTTTCCCTTCAGTTTTGTCTTCAGCAAGTGAAATGCATGCTCAATCGGATTCAGGTCAGGTGATGGACTTGGCCATTGCATAACATTCCACTTCTTTCCCTTAAAAAACTCTTTGGTTGCTTTTGCAGTCTGCTTTGGGTCATTGTCCATCTGCACTGTGAAGCGTCCAATGAGTTGTGAAGCATTTGGCTGAATATGAGCAGATAATATTCCCGAAACACTTCACAATTCATCCGGCTGCTTTTGTCAGCAGTCACATCATCAATAAATACAAGAAAACCAGTTCCACTGGCAGCCATACATGCCCACGCCATGACACTAGCACCACCATGCTTCACTGATGAGGTGGTATGCTTAGGATCATGAGCAGTTCCTTCTCCATACTCTTCTCTTCCCATCACTCTCGTACAAGTTGATGTCGGTCTCATCTGTCCATAGGATGTTGTTCCAGAACTGTGAAGGCTTTTTTACATGTCGTTTGGCAAATTCTAATCTGGCCTTCCTGTTTTTGAGGCTCACCAATGGTTTCCATCTTGTGGTGAACCCTCTGTATTCACTCTGGTGAAGTCTTCTCTTGATTGGTGACTTTGACACACATACACCTACCTCCTGGAGAGTGTTCTTGATCTGGCCAACTGTTGTGAAGGGTGTTTTCTTTACCAGGGAAAGAATTCTTCGCTCATCCACCACAGTTGTTTTCTGTGGTCTTCCGGGTCTTTTGGTGTTGCTGAGCTCACCGGTGCATTCCTTCTTTTTAAGAATGTTTCAAACAGTTGTTTTGGCCACGCCTAATGTTTTTGCTATCTCTCTGATGGATTTGTTTTTTTTTTCAGCCTAATGATGGCTTGCTTCACTGATAGTGACAGCTCTTTGGATCTCATCTTGAGAGTTGACAGCAACAGATTCCAAATGCAAATAGCACACCTGAAATGAACTCTGGACCTTTTATCTGCTCATTGTAATTGGGATAATGAGGGAATAACACACACCTGGCCATGGAACAGCTGAGAAGCCAATTGTCCCATTACGTTTGGTCCCTTAACAAGTGGGAGGCACATATGCAAACTGTTCTAATTCCTACACCGTTCACCTGATTTGGATGTAAATACCCTCAAATTAAAGCTGACAGTCTGCAGTTAAAGCACATCTTGTTCATTTCATATCCATTGTGGTGGTGTATAGAGCCAAAAATGTTAGAATTGTGTCGATGTCCCAATATTCATGGATCTGACTGTATCTCCAGCTCCCACAGAACAGTACCAGGTCAGGTGATCAGATATGGGACATGTCTCCAGCTCCCACAGAACAGTACCAGGTCAGGTGATCAGATATGGGCATGCCTCCAGCTGACACAGGAGAGAGTAGCAGGTCAGGTGATCAGCTATGGGACATGTCTCCAGCTCACATTGGAGTTTACCAGGTCAGGTGATCAGATATGGGACACACCTCCAGCTCAACTGATTAAATAATGTAAACCAAACGCAGAAACCGGTCAGTTGATGAGATACAGGAGGTAGTAGGGTAAGGTGACTGGATAGGAGAGGTGAAACCTGGTCATGTGATGGCACGTGGGAGGTGGAAACTGGTCAGGTGATTGGATAAGGGAGGTATCAGCGGCTCAGGTGATAAGACATGGTAAGTAGTGAATTCAAATGACCTGCTTACCTCTCATATGTATTCACCCTACCTGTCTACCTACCAGGGGAGGACTGACCATTTGGGCACTGCCCGAGGGCCCGGGGTCAGTAGGGGGCCCCATGAGATGCCCCTGGTACCTTTCATAGACTTTTGTGGGTGTGGTTTGAGTATGGGCAAGGACACAGGGGCCCCATGATCCCCTATTGCCCGGGGACCCCATCAGTTGTCAGTCCGCCCCCGGCTACCTACCATGTCTTATCATCTGACCAGCTGACACCTCCTATGTCCAATCCTCTGGCCAACTAGTACTGTCTCCCTGTTGGCGCTATATAAATCCCGTATAATAATAATAATAATAATAATCTGGAAAAGATTTCATATTAAAATTTACCCTGTGTATGGTGTTATTATTATTTGACAGGATAATTTTAAACAAAAATGTCAATTGTATTATTATTGTTGCATAAGGTGAATACTTGCCTAATTAAAGCAGAGCTCCACCCAAAAGGGGAAGTTCCACTTTAAGCCTTTGTCCCCCGCTCCCCATTAAGAATTGGCACCTTTTGGGAGCGGGTACCCGAATTTGACAGGTACCCGCTCCCACTTCTGCCTAGGCAATCGGAAGCGGAAGTTGTCCTCCCCCATAGTCTTCTGGGACACGTGAGAGGTCCCAGAAGACTACGGGGCCATTCACAAAGCTCAGTGCTTCTCACACATGCACAGTGGGCACCCGGCTGTGAAGCCCCAAGCTGTCACAGCCGGGTGCCCACACTGAAGATGCTGGCACCAGGGAGAGAAGACGACCGGTGAAACCAGCCATGGTGAGGACACCGCTGGACCGAGGGACAGGTAAGTGTCTGTATTTGAAAAATCAACAGCTACAGTTTTTGTAGCTGCTGACTTTTTTTTTTTTTCCAGGTGGAACTCCGCTTTAAGTAATTTGGTTGTTGTTCTCTCTCTCTTCAACATTATAAATAATTATTTTGAGTTTATTACATTACATTCTCTGTATGCAATGGAAGGATTTAGATACTTAAGAAATCTCAGTACAAATGACCTCAGCGAATGTCTCTAAGATGTATAGATAGAAATTTTGTCATAATCATTTAGGTAATATATTGTATTTTACAATTGCAAGAAAAAGTATGTGAACCCCTTTGGGATTACGTGGAGTTTTGCATGAATTGGGCATAAAATGTGCTCTAAACGTCATCTAAGTCACAACAATAGAAGAACGCAGTCTGCTGAACATAATACTACACAAACATTAGATGTTGCCATGGTTTAATTGCACATAACATGTAAACATTCACAGTGCAGGGAGGAAAAAGTATGTGAGGCCCTAGCTTAATGACTTCTCCCAGAGCTAATTGGAGCCAGGAGTGAGCCAACCTTGACTCCAATCAGTGTGATGATATTGGATGTGTTGCTGACAACTGTCCTGCCCTTAAAAAACACACACCTGTTTTGGGTTTACTGGTTTCAAGAAGCACTGTCTGATGTGAACCATGCCTCGCAGAAAAGAGCTCTCAGAAGACCTACGATCAAGAATTGTTGACTTGCATGAAGCTGGAAAGGGTTACAAAAGTATCTCCAAAAGCCTTGATGTTCATGTGTCCACGGTAAGACAGACTGTCTACAAATGGAGAAAGTTTAGCACTGTTGCTACTCTCCCTAGGCGTTGTCATCCTGTAAAAATTACTGCAAGAGCACAGCGCAGAATGCTGCATGAGGTAAAGAAGAATCCCAGAGTGTCAGCTAAAGACCTACAGAAATCTCTGGCACATGCTAACATTTTTGTTGACACATCTACAATAAGGAAAACATTAAACAAGAATGGAGTACATGGGAGGACACCACGGAGGAAGCCATTGCTGTCCAAAAAGAAGATTGCAGCACGTTTGAAGTTTGCAAAAGAGCACCTGGATGTTCCACAGCACTACTGGCAAAATATACTGTGGACAGATGAAACCAAGATTGAGTTGTTTGGGAAGAACACACAACACTACGTGTGGAGAAAAAAAGGCACAGCACACCAACATCAAAACCTCATCCCCACTGTGAAACATGGCGGAGGGAGCATCATGGTTTGGGGCTGCTTTGCTGCCTCAGGGCCTGGACGGATTGTTGTCATTGATGGGAAAATGAATTCCAGAGTTTATCAAGACATTTTGCAGGAAAACGTACGACCATCTGTCCGCCAACTGAAGCTCTGCAGGGGATGGATGATGCAACAGGACAATGACCCAAAGCATACAAGTCATTCAACAAAACAATGGCTGCAACAGCACAGAATACGCCTTCTGGAGTGGCCCAGTCAGAGTCCTGACCTCAACCCCATTGAAATGCTGTGGCATGACCTTAAGAGAGCGATTCACACCAGACATCCCAAGAATATTGCTACACTGAAACAGTTTTGTGAAGAGGAGTGGTCCAAAATGACTCCAGATCGTTGTGCAGGTCTGATCTGCAACTACAGGAAATGTTTGGTTGAGGTAATTGCTGCCAAAGGAGGGTCAACCAGTTATTAACTCCAAAGGTTCACATACTTTTTCCTCCCTGCACTGTGAATGTTTACATGTTATGTGCAATTAAACCATGGCAACATCTAATGTTTGTGTAGTATTATGTTCAGCAGACTGTGTTCTTCTATTGTTGTGACTTAGATGACGTTCAGAGCACATTTTATGCCCAATTCATGCAAAA